TTGTCTATCAACCTATGTGAAAGGATTTTCAAAAAATTATAGAATATTAATTTTAAGGCAATTTTTCAAAGTGGGACTTTTTTTTTGATACGCCCTGTATAAAGATAAACTTAAAACAAAAGATAAAATAAAACAAAATAACTGTGAGTTGGATGCTTGCATATTCTATAAGTATATTCAAAAATGGCCTGGGAAGTTGATGCAGCTTGGAAATAATAAATGATAAATTAATTGTGGGCATATTTCATGCAGTCATATTTCCTTTGATTTGTGTTACAGGTGTCTTTAATCTTGTTATCCGTCAACATTGAGAGGGGCACTTACTGTGCTGTTTGGTATCATTAAGTGAACCAATCTGAGTATGGACAAAAGAAAGAAAAGACATGACTTGTCTAAGGAGATATGGAAGAAAATTATTGCCTGGCATGGCAATGGTAGAGACCGTCTCCAAGCAGCTAGATGTTCCTGTGACCATGGTTGCAGATATTATCAAAAAATGTAGGACCACAAATCTGTAGCCATCCTCCCTGGACATGGCTGCAAGAGGACAAATAAACCCACACTAAGTCAACATAGTTTCAACAATAGAAAAAGTGGTAATGAAAACTTCTAAACAGATTCAAGCTATCCTACATGATCAAAGCACAATGTATGCTTGCACCATTCATCAACGTGTGAATGACAGTGGGCTCCATGGAAGAAAACCTAGGAGGTCCCCTATTTTGAAAGCAAAACATAAAAAAGCCAGACTGGAGTTTGAAAAAATACATGTTGGCACACTTCAGTGCCTATGGGAGAATGTCCTTTGGACAGATGAAACCAAATTGGAGTCCGATCAGCTTTACATTTGCAGGAGAAAAGAAAATTAGCTTTCAAAAAAAAAAAAAGAATTGTGAAAAGGGTCTGTTATGTCATGGTGCTACTTTTTTGCGTCTGGCACAGGGTCCTTTGAATCTATGCCAGGAACAAGGAAATCGGAAGATTATCGAGGCATTCTAGGGTGACACACACTGCCCAGAGTATGAAAGCTCAGTCCTGGTGATAGGTAATGGATTTTCCTACTGGAAAATGACCCAAAACATAAATCTAAAGCACCCAAGAATGGATAAGAAGACAACGCAGGACTGTTCCGCAGTGGCCTGCTGTCAGTCCTAATCAGAATCCAATCAAACATTGAGAGCTGAAACTTGTGATTGGGAGAAGGCACCCTTCAAACCTAAGGGAACTACAGCAGCTTGTTAGAGGAGAGTGGACCAGATTGCCAGTTGTGAAAGGTAAAAGTGCCATTCTGAACAAGAAAAAGCATTTAATTGCAGTGATTGCCTCAAAATGTTAGATTATGGGTCCCAGTATTTTTTTTCCAAGCCATTTTCATTTGTATTATTATTTAAAATATCATGTTACACTGAGAATCCAAGAAAATCAACAGATCTGTTAAATATTGAAAAAAAAAAATTCTGGATTCCAGTTGCTTTTGGCAGTTTCAGCTTATTTCAGGGAAAATTGTGAGTTTTGTCTTTTAAGTAGAAGGGTACCACTTTCGTCCAACTCCGTGCATTACTTCCAGTAATCTATTCCCATGGCAAAAAGCAGAGGGATAATTCATTTTTAATATGATTGTTGCTGTTCAATAGTCTGGGCAAAGTAATAGATATGTTTATACGTGCTTGGGAATGTTAAGTGCTACAATCAATACAAACATTTGAGTGTTTCTCTTCGTAATGCTTGCAGGAATTTAAATATGCAATATTATTTAGTCATGGCGGCAGTGAGTGCAACTGTTGGGTGGGAGAGTAATTTGTAAAAATACATACTGTGAGCACCATAATTCATTGGACAGCGACACAATTTTTATTTTGGTTTAGTAATTTGTGTTTGAAAGGATTCAATAACAATGAGGCTGAAATTCAGACTTTCAGAATTCATTTGAGGATGTTTTCATCCATATTGGGCAGACTGCTCAGAAATGGTAGCACCTTTTGTGCAAAGTCCTCCTATTTTTGAGTACATCAAAAGTATCTTTCAGTCTGCGATAATGTTAAGCAGTCATTTTTGACATTTGGTTGAATATCATTTGAATTTAATGACTGCTTGAAGTCAGTGACACGTAGACATTACCAGATGGTTATCTTCCTTGGTGAGGATTTGCCAGCCCTAGACTGCAGCCATCTTCAGTTCCTGCTTGTTTAAGGGACTTTTTGCCTTCAGTGCCCTCATCAGCATGTAAAATATATGTTCAGTTGGATTCAGAACTGGGGACTGATTCGGCCAACAGAACCAAAATAACAAAAGGAGTGTCACTGTCCCATGAATTACGGTGCTCACTGTGTATATTGCCAAACTAATATCTATTTAGTTGTGTGTATTGCACAGCATTATGAAACATAAGTGCAAAACATGCTAGCTGAAATACAGTCAGGTCCTCAAATATTTGGATTTACAAAGTTATTATTAATTTAGTTTGTGTGGGCCTACTACAGCACATTGGAGATTAAACCGAACAATTAGTATGATCACAACAGTTCAAGGGCAAGGCAAGAGTTATTTCCTCATTATTTCATTTTCAAGTATGCAGATCAAGGTCAATAGGAGAAGTGTGACATTTGTATTTGGAATTTGTTGCCATTAACTGTCAATATGAAGTCCAAAGATCTGTCACTGCCAGTGAGGCAAGACATTATTACTTTGAGAAATCAAAACAAAGCCAACAGAGAAAAAACAAAAATGTAAGGTGAAGCCAAATCAACTTCTTGGTAAAAAACTAGGAGTATGCTAGTGAGCTCAGGAATGCTGAAAAACCAGGAAGATCATGCAAAACATGCCAGAAGGAGACAGAAGTTTGTTCTCTGATGAAGAAAACCCCCTGAGAACAGTTGGACACATCAAGAACACTCTCCAGGAGGTAAAGGTATCTGCGTCAATGCCATGACTGAAGGGAAGATTGCACCAAAGTTAGTACAGGGGGTTTACCACCAGATGTAAACTGTTAGTAAGTCTCAATGTACCAAGGTTTGGCCAAGAAATATCCAGAAAAGCATACGCAGTTCTGGAACAACATAGTATGGACAGGGTAGATAAAAATCTACCTATACCAGAATGATGGGGGAAAAAAGAGTACGGAAAATGGGAGAACTGCCCATTATCCACAGCATTCCACCTTATCAGTGATATATGGTGATGTGTGGGCATGTATGGCTGCCAATGGACCTGATTCCCTTGTGTTTATTGATCATGTGCATACATATCAAATTATACAGATTCCCCATAAGTTATACAGATTCCCCCATTTACACAGCTTACGGACATACAAATAAAGTCATACAGATTTTTATCAGACGTAAAGCATAGCAGATATTGGAATCATAAATTCTGTTTGCATGAACACAATAACATATGAAAAGTTTAACATACAACCTTCAGAAATTGCATATCACTGGCTGGGATAAAAAGAAACTTCAAGTTCAAAGATGGGAATGATTGGTGTTATAGATTATGTTTATCATTATAATACATGTTCAAATCAAACCCTGCTTTAGGCAATGGCTGGTGTCTGTGGCTGGTTTGATTCCAGATGGCCAATAGTTTTTTTTTTTTAAACTTTGTTCAAAATATTAATCACTGGAAGCTATGAATTTTGACAACGATGAAAGAGCACATGAACATACAACATGGTAAACAACCAACAACCAGATGCTTGTTTTCGTGGCACAACACAATTTGCCGTTGGCCATTGTGGACCACTTTTCAGAGCTTCTGCTCAACATGCATACAGACCATAGACTGTATGAAACATGGTATGGTCTGCACAATCACCTTAAGTATCAGTTGTAAACGTAAAAACACAACACAAATGATCAGGAAGAGCTTGGTTCCCAATGCTGCACAGCATTGGCTATTACTGTACACAGCCCTTCTCCCTTTTGAATGACAAGTGGGATGATAAGAATATGGAAAAGAGGTTGGTGATTTTTGTCATGATTTTCTCAGAGTGGAGTGAAATTGAAGATCCTTGACATGCCCATATATGGCATCAGCATGAGCATGGTAATTTTTATTGTCCAGGATGAGGCTTTGATGTTTTTTTGTTTTTTTTAATGGTCGAGAAGAAATCTTTTAACCCCTTAAACCCGAATGCCCCTGGTACCGGGGGCGGTCGTTACGCATAACAAATACAGCATGTCTCCTAATGGCAACAACACCATGCAGCTTATCCACTTTACGTGAAGAAACTCGGCAAAAAGCACATGTTGACCATTTTTACTTCAACCAAATACAATTCAAGCAAGAAGCAAAAAACCATTTAGCAAAACACAGGATAAAATCATATCGGTGCTGAGTCGCTAGCATTTTTACTGAATTTGTGCTATGCATACAAACGACACCTCAACTGAAAGAGGAAAATCCACAAAATCCAACGATATAAGCCTTGTCATTTTAAACCGACACCACACTCAAAGAACAGCAGGCATACACTTCACAGTCTACAGAGATTAGCAAAAAAAAAATTTTTACTTCCATATTTTGTAATAAAAAACAGTTCGAGGGTAAATCTGCGCTTGCTATTGTTAGGCCAATGTGTCCGTGTTGTAACGAAACTAGATCTTCTAGTTGGATTATTGTTTCAAAGATCTAAGCTCCTTAGCATTCAGCTTGCTTGCAATGCATTTTCCTCTCTGTGATTGGCTTGTGATGCTATCAGTAAGACTTTGCCAGTAGCCATTTGATTCTTTGGGTTCTGATGTTTCCAACGAGCTCTAAATAACCTTAATAGCACAAACCTAGCCTGAGCTAGAGCCTTGCGTTCCCAGTGCCTCAAACTGAGTCAACGGGAGATTCAAATGTACTTGAATAGCGTGACAGTATAAATGCTTAACTGGTTTGTTTGTGGTATTTTCCGTGTAATTATCCGCTAAATATTCAACATTCGTTTTCAAAGTCGTTTTCTAACAGAATCTTTGTGAATCAGAATCAGAACAGAATCATTCTTTATATACCAGTCAGCTGATATAGCCTAGTGGTTAGGGTGAAGTGCTACGATCTAAATTGCTAGGGATCAAATCCTGCTCTCGGCATGTATTTACTTAGACAATCATAGCATTTTTCTTGTATAAATAATTGCTGAGGTTTTTTGTTCTTTTCACTTTTTTATCATTTTTTTACATTACCTTTATGACAATGGATCAGCGTTCACATAGCGTCCTCCGTCAGTACCCAGGTTCGCCTGGGGAAGCAGATGATCCTACCAGCAGACTGAATTCTAAGAGACGACGCCTGAGAGCTAAGTCAAAGAATCCAAGTCACAGTCCCCAAGCCGAAAGCAGACACCCTCAAGAGCACCAAGCGGTGGGACCTGCCCTTCGCATATTACAGCTCAATGTTGAAGGCCTTTTTGCTGCCAAGCGAAGCCTCATCGAAATCCTCGCCTTTCAACATTCTATTGATGTTATCTGCCTCCAAGAGACCCACATTGGCACAGAGGTAGCAGGCCGCTATACCATCAATGGCTTTGACCTCCTGTGCTACACACCCCATGCCAAACATGGACGTGCCACCTATGTGCAGTCTGACATAGCTGAAGCAAACCACCTGACAACAACACACTGCTCATATAACCATTGGTGGCTTCCATATCACTAATGTGTACAAGCCCCCTAGTGCCAACTGGGATCTGCAGGTCTTACCCACCCTACCCCACCCTGCCATCTTTGTGGGGGACTTTAACAGCCACCACCCTGGCTGGAGATACCCAGCGGTGGACAGTGACAGTGAGGTACTTTCAGACTGGGCATCTAGAAATGACCACATTCTGATACACGACCCCAAACAAAGAGGAACATTCCACTCAGCCAGGTGGAGTAAGGACTATTCTCCCGACCTCTGCTGGATCAGCTCTTTGAATGGAGCCCCCTATCCTGCACAGATCCTCATTCTTGACAATTTTTCACACAGTCAACACCGGCTCTCGCTCATACACATTGGCTTACAACTCCCAGTCATAAACAGCCCAAGGAAGATGCGCTGGAACTTCCATAAAGCCAACTGGAAGAAAGACAGTGAAACCTTGGACCGGAGTATTGTCACTATCCCACTCCACACCATCACTGTAGATGAAGCATACAACCGCTTCTGCAGTGCCATCTACAAGGCTGCCCATGCAGCAATCCCACGAGGCTACTGAGCCCTCTACGTCCCATGCCTGTACGAAGAAAGTGCTGCCCTCCTACAGGCCTACAAAACATCAGGGGACCCTGAGATGGCAGAGCACCTCATTGAATCACTAACTACAGCCTGGCGAAAAAAGTGGGAGGAGACAGTAGCTGACATGAATTTCACCCACTCCAGCAGGAAATTTTGGAGCCTCATTCGCCGTCTAGGAGCTGCACAGAAGCCTCCCACCCAAAGCCAATCATCTGTCACACCCAACCAAGTTGCATCCCACCTACTGTCTATTGCCAAAGCAACTCAAGACAAATACACCAGAAGAGCAGTTACAACTGAACTAAAGTTACATCAAAAAACACTCAAAGATGAAACAAACCCTGAGCCTTTTGAGGTTGCTGAACTGGAGAAAGTCATGCAGGGCCTGAAATGTGGAAAGGCAGCAGGATATGACAACATTTCTCCAGAGTTCATGAAACATCTGGGCTCCAGAGCTCTAACCTGCCTGACCCAATTCTACACCAGGATCATACAGACAAACCTGATCCCAAAGAAATGGCGAACAGCAAAATTTATTGCCATATTAAAACCTGGCAAAGACCGTAAAATACTAGCAAGCTACCGCCCAGTCTCTCTACTCTGCGTTCCCTACAAAATCCTGGAATGGCTAATACTTCAGCGTATATCCCCAGGAATAGAGGAAATTCTCAGTGTGGATCAGGCAGGTTTCCGCAAGGACTGCAGCACAGGAGAACAAGTACTGGCCCCAACCACCTTCATCGAAAATGGTTTCGAGAGCAGACTTAAGACAGGGACTGTGTTTCTTGACCTCACAGCTGCCTATGATACGGTCTGGCACAAAGGCCTCCTACTGAAACTCACAAAGGCGCTCCCTGCCAGGGCAACAGCAACCATCAAACCTCTGCTGACCAACCGGAGGTTCAGAGTTCACCTTGGACAGAAAATGAGCTCATGGAGAACGCAGACAAATGGGCTCCCTCAAGGCTCAGTTCTCGCCCCAACCTTATTTAACCTCTATACGAACGACCTACTCATCGCCAAATCCCGCAAATTTATCTACGCAGATGACATTTGTCTGGCATTCCAAGCACCAGACTTCAATCAACTGGCATGGGTGCTCACAGAGGACCTTACTAAACTGGACCAGTACTGCAAAACTTAGCATCTAGAACCAAGCCCAGCAAAAACTGTTTCCAGTGTATTCCATCTCCACAATGTGGAAGCTGCCAGAGAATTAAACATCAATCTCTCCGGGCTTAAACTTAAGCATGCCCCTAATCCAACCTACCGTGGAGTAACCCTTGACAGGACCCTATCCTTCAAGGAACACATAAAAGGGATGGCAGCTAAGGTGAAGTCCAGAAACAACCTGCTCTGCAAGCTTGATGGTGCAAAATGGGGCGCGTCAACCTCCACACTACGCACCTTAGCTTTGGCCCTTGCATATTCTGCAACAGAATATTGTGCTCCTGTATGGTCCAGGTCATCCCACACACGTGGACACCCAGCTCAACACAACCATGAGAATCATAACCGGGACAATCCGCTCAACACCACTCCCCTGGCTCTCTGTCCTATCAAACATTGCACCTCCACATGTCCAGCGAGCAGCATTTACTCAAAGGATGCTTCACAAGGCCAAAGACTCCCCCCATCTACCAATCCATGCAGACATCTTCAACCCACCCACTGCTCGACTCCCATCGAGACGCCCCATCCGGAAGAACATCCCACCAGCTGACTTCACCATCCAATCAGCTTGGGAGAAGGAATGGGCGTCCATGGAGGTCCCCAATAAACATCTGGTGTCAGACCCTACTCAACAGGTCTCTGGCACAGACCTCCCACGGAGACAGTGGTCAACCCTCAACAGATTCAGGACTGGACATGGCCCGTGCTTAGCCAGCCTTCACAGATGGGGCAGTAACCCTAACCCACTGTGTGCTTGTGGACAGGAGCAGACAATGGAGCACATCATTGAAGCTTGCCCTCTCCAAAGACTGAAAGGAGGACTAGACACCCTCCATACAGCAGACCAGGAGGCAACTGCTTGGCTGAAGGACTTTGTATTTGCTAAATAAATAAATAAATAAATAACCTTTATATTTATAAGTTTATTTATTTGCTTTTTTCTCTTTAATAAATCTGCTCCAGTGGAATCAAACTTCATTTTCTGTGTATGTATTATCTTTGAATGGGAAATTGTATAGGCTACAGAAATGGCAGAAATAATAATTTAAAAAAAAAATTTTAATCAAAAAGTGGTTGTATTTGGATGGAATGTATCCCTGTAATGACATATAAGTGAAACTAAATTAGTTTTACAGTTCGGTATCTGAGAAACATGAAACGGCACACAGTGTCATCTTGGAGAGGCCACCTAGACATTCCCAAACTAAAACCTCTCTAAATTTGCTCTGATTTACTTGCTTAGAATAAACTTTGGCACAGATAATGGTGAGATCCAGTGCTGTCATTTTTTGGGGGGTTCAGACTGCAACTGAATAATTTTAGGACAAATAAAAGTAAAACTTTGTTTGGTGCAAAAAAGATGTTTCATTTATGCGGTGTTCCATCTTCATTTACTCTGACTCAGTGACATATACACTGATTTTCGCACCATGACAAAAATCCCCAGGGTGTTACCTTTATTATGATACCAAGATTATTCAAATCCACCAATTCATGTATAGTCATTTCATTTTGGGCATGTCATTTTCAAGCCAGAGGCTCAGGGCTTAAGGGGTTAAGCTTTTAAAAATATTTTCATTACATTTTCGCACCCTGTTTATACTTTCCTTAATGAAAAAAAATAAGTATATTAAAATATGCTTTAAAAAATGTTATGGGTTTTTAAAGACTTTTACGAATATTTACTGAAGGTAATACAGGTGGGAACCCAGAGGGGTTGGTATGTATGGATGTGACTGCTGACAAAAGCAGCACAATAAATTTTGAATTGAAGAGTTTGGTTTCAAAAAGCGATAAATCCTAATTTGAAAATTCGGAACTCCCTCCACGAATATGTTGGTAATTATCAAATCGTATTCATTCCATATTCAGTCTTTGCCAAATATGCCATTATTTTACACACAATAATATGTACTTTCTTTCCAAAGCGTGGCAAGCACCATGACCCGTCTTGAACAAATCACAATACCTCCTATCACCCAATCAAAGGCCACCGTTGGCATGACTTTTTACAGCACTGCTGCAGCAGTCCTTACCTTAACCTCATGATAGCTCTCAAGCTGTTCCCATTGAAGTTTGCTTGATTAACAATCAGCTAATTTATGAGCTGAGTGACTAACAGGGGTGTCGTGGAGGGTGAGCGCGAGGAAGCGGTGCTCCCCTACTTCTCAAACTATTAAAAAAAAAACTTATTTGATCTGCTGACCGACAGATTGACAGCTTTCCAAACAAATGGATTCATGACATTGTCTCTCACATGACTGAGTAAGTTTACATATTTCATTATTTCATGATACAGAGTGCAAGCTATCAATCTGTTTTTTTTTTTTTATTATTGAGGGGGGAGCCTAATTGGACAGGTATTGGGCAATACTCATCCAGAGACAATACAAAGTGTGCGCCAAAATCAAAACGGTCAGCCTAGCAACCGTTGTGCGCTCTCTTCTAAAAATAGCAGTACAACACTGATAACCAAGACTATTACATGCCCAGTGATTATTAAGAAATGATCATGATTAAGTGATCACCTGTCACCAACATTTATATAATTGATATGAAACTGCAATGATGGCAATAATCCAAATAAATTAAGAAAATGTAAAACTTTGACTGTTGCTTTGGATTTCTTTTCATTTATTCAGACTATCGACAACCTTGCAATGTCACTCTGCTGTACGTCATGCCTAACAACACCCTTTAA